AGATGCACCTGAAATGTAACCAGACTGAATGAGTCAGTGTGTAGAATTTAATTGCATTGTTTTACTTTAATCTTCTTCAAAGGGCCTAGAGATTTTGAATGTTATAGTTGGGAATATTTGTTAAACCATTTAGCATACGTTGAAGCAACAGTATCAGTACAAAATCACAGCTTATTGTGCTTTCTCTATAACTTGGTTCATTAAAACATTTTGATGTTAGGTAGTTTCATACCACCCAGGGTGGATTTTATCTGTGCTTGATGACGCTTTATTATTAAAAAAAACTCTGCCATTCAAGTCTCCAAAATAATCAGGTTTTTAATATGTAGGTAAATAACACAGCAGGGCACAGATTATCCAGCAAGTTCTTGGAATGTATTGGCGACATTTTTATTTCAGAAGGTGGAGAAAGCAACTGGGGGGGAAGCTGTTCTATTGATTTTAACAAATAGGGAGGAACTGGTTGAGATTTTGAAAGTGGAAGGAAGCTTGAGTGAAAGTGATCATGAAATGATCCAGTTTGTGATTCTAAGGAATGGCAGAAGAGAGAACAGCAAAATAAAGCAATGGATTTCAAGAAGGCAGACTCCAGCAGACTCAGAGAGCTCGTAGGTTGACAGTTTTTCAAAGGTGCATTATTACAGCCACAGGAGCACACTATTCCGTTGTGTAGAAAAGATAGGAAGTATGGCAAGAGACCACTTTGGCTTAACCAGGAGATCTTGAATGATCTAAAACTCAAAAAAATGAACTGGGAGTTCAAAGTTAGTTACTGTCTATAGGTTCATCTGGATTGGATTTATTCATACCGCATTTTCCTTGTTCATTAGCATGTCAACAAGATGTCACCAATCAGTCTTTTGTGAATCTGCCCTATCAGTAATCTTGATTCCAAGCCCATGCACACCCAAACATTACATTGGAATTATGGCCATAAATACCTACAAGTTACTTCATAGGACCCTTCATAGGACCCTTCATGGGACACACATACTAGCCTGAAAAGAGAATAATCTTCTGCTTCCAAGTGAAGGCTGCTTGGAATCACTTGGCTTGTGCCTGGATTGTTTCTTCTGCCGATGATTTTGCATAAGCATAGCTACAGTCAACAAAGAACTTTCCCTATCCTGTTGCAGTCTGGCCAATATCATAATTCTAATCTCCACTCCATGGTGTGACATGTGTTGAGTAGCAGAAAGGAATTTGATTGCCTAGGAGGTTTTCTAATTTTAGAAATTGTCTAATTTTATAAGTGATAGTTATGTCACTATAGATGTATATTAATATAAAAATGCATATATTCC